GTATAATTAAATAATTGCGTTAAAACAATTGAAATTAAAAAAAAAATTATGTCAACAAAAATGTTGCGGCAAGGGATAAGTGCAAGTGGGAACTCGAAACCATGCAAGTTGAAGTTGCAGCTCTCGAGTCTGAAAACTAAAGGATGTCCAATATTCGCTCCAATCACATAGTCTTTAGATGCTCGGTTATAAGAATGATTCTTTTGTTAAATTTTCGTAATATATCTTTTTCATTTTGACTAAGCTGAAAGGAACAATCATTTAGTGTGGTTCTATGCTTTTAAATAATAAAAAAAAGGTTTGGTATTTATCATTTTAAATGACATAAATTATGTCATTTTAGGTGAGAGATAGACACAAAAAATAAAAATTATGGGAGAGAGAAAGTGGATATTTTTTTTTAATTTAAATTTTAAATAAAAAATTATTTTGTGTTTATCTCTCTCCTAAAATGACATAACTATATGTCATTTAAAATGACAAACACTTTTCCCTAAAAATAATTAGTCATCTTATTATCTTATATGAGATATATGTTGAATTTTGTATGTTTTGAAAATATAATCGGGCTCATAGTAGTTTTGAAAATTTAATGTAAGTAAGTTGGATGGATATAAAACTATATTCATGGTAAAAGTCACCGAAATTCTAATTTTTTTTTTAATAATTCACATATCATTAACAACAATTATTTTTCTCTTCCTGTTCATTTCCTTCCCTTTGTAATCCATTTTGTATTTCTTTTTTTCATCTCATTTTTCTTTCTCTATTAGTGGACTTAATTCCCTCAATATCCAACTGTGACCGGCCCCTCCTAAATCAAAACAGAGTTGTATCACTGATAACATTGCTTGATTTGGGGGTTAACTTATTTTAAGAAAAAGAAAACAAACTAGGAGCAGCTTTACCCCTTAATAATCGGTTATGGAAATTACTTTAGAAAAAGGCTCAAGGAGTTACGTTCATAAATCTCAATTAAGGGAGCACAATTTGCAATTAGAGAAGAAACTATAGTACAGTTAGCATTGGCTTTAAACGAAGTAATTTATTCCTTTCCGTATGCACCATATTTTTTTACTGTCGCTGTTACGAACAAATATGATTTTTTTTCCCATAGATTTCACAAAACTATCATTACTATATTTGTTTATAAATTTGCACGTGATTTATTCTGCTATCACTTATCTCCTAATATCTTTTATTTATCATGGTTATTTTTTTTTTTTTTACATCAAACTCCATTTAAACGTATACATTTCGCCTTATAAACAACAAAACTCCCATGTGAATTTTTTTTTTAAATAGTTAAAATTTTGGACACCACAATCTTTTCATTGCTGTCATTTGTAATTGGTTTAAATTAAGTAATTAAGTAGATTGTTATTAAGATTAAAAGATCGTCTGGACAATTTTATATAGTATTTAATTTTAAATTAAATGATTCTAGGTTTAAAAAAAGAAAATAATTTTAAAAAGTAGAAGTATGCAAGTTTGTTTACCGAAAAAAGAGAGAGAAGTATGCAAGTTTTATTATATTATTTTGGATTACGTATTTTCATATAATTATAACTTTTTATATTATAATATTTATTTATTTTATTTTATTTTATTATTAAGATGTAATAAAATTTATTGTGTTTTGGCTATTAATTATTTAATTACTTGTTGCATATTGAAAAAAAAAAATCAGTTGAACTTATTAGTTATTATATATCTATCCATATAGGGTCGATCCGAACAGATTCCGAACCGAATCGTTTCTAAACCGAACCGAACCACTTCCGAACCGAATTAGTTTCAAACTGAACCGAACCATTTTTGAACCGAACCATTTGGTTTTTCAAAAAAATTGGTTCGGTTCGACCCATTCACATCCCTAGCCAAGTCCACCATCATCTTTAGGCCTACGAACTTTAATGTTAATTTTTTTTCTCTCATCTCGGTTGGTCATGTGAGACTTTCTAACGTGAGGAGAAGAACCTCATATAAGCTTTTGGATGTGTTATTTAACATGATTATTATGTCTTATGAAAGGATTTAATCATCAATATGTTGGACAAGTGGCTTCAATACTCAAGAGGGGGGTGAATTCAGTTTTACAAAATCTTTTCACAAAGTACCTCCTTTGATATTTTAAAGACTATTTCTTCAATAAAGTGATTTAATAAGGAAAAATCTAAGTGTAAGAGCAAGTGTAGTGAACAACAAATTAAGCAAGCGAATATATAGAGACAATCTAAAATGCAATTTTAATACTTAAATAAAGAGATTAAGGTTAGAGAAATTGCAAACTAGATGTATCCTGGTTCGGTCACCACCACCGTGACCTACGTCCAGACTGAAGTCGTTCGATCAATTCTTTTCACTAACTATCAAGCTTGAGGGTGCTTGACAAACCATTACAACCTTTCAAGACTTCAGGCTCTTGATGCCTTACAATTTTTCACTCCAAATTTTTTTAGAAATTTGGTGACCTTTCAAGTGTATAAGGTTCATTCCCCTAACTACTCAAGAAATCAAAGGAAGGTGTTTAACAATGGCTAAGTACTCTAAGTACAAATAACACAAGTTGAAGAATAATGGTTGTTGACACTCTCACAAGAATAAAGCTCAAAGTGAATTTATGATCAAGAAGACAAGAATTAATGCAAATAGAATGAGAATTAATGAGTAATAATGATCAAGAAGTGTATCACATCAAGGAAAACAGTAGTCTCTATTTATAGAGGGGCTCATGGCTGTTTACACACTCATTTTCGCAAACTAGCATTTTATAACCGTTATTTTTGTCTTCTGGTGCAGTAGGAATCGATTCCTTTTATTTGAAAATCGATTCCCATCTTTTTCAGTGAGAGGGAATTGATTCCCAAGTGAAGGGAATCGATTCCCAGCCTGTTGAAAAGGCTGAAAAATCGTTCTAGAGCATTCTACTTTATTTCAAAACCTTTTCTAACATGTTTAATCACTTGATTATATTTTGAAAACATATTTTAACAGACGTATTATGCTAGAAAACCTTTTTGCAATCAAATGGTGATTTGATGCATGTATTTTAACAGAAATATATTGAGCTTTCTCATGCAAGAGGTCAATTACTCTCGGGATGAATTCTAAGTCCTAGAGGATATTGCTTGAGACTCTTGGACTTGGATTCTCCCTTTGAAGCTTGAATCTTGATGAGCTTCATGAATGTCATTTGATTATTTCTTTTTTATCGTTGCACCTTGAGGCCTTCTTTCCATGCTTTGTTTGTTATCATCAAGATCCTTGAATCTTTATGTTTGCATTGGTTCCACACAATATATAAATCAACAATGATGATTTCATAATTTTTTTATTCCAATATTTTTTCTTTTTTATCCCTTATCACCATTCACTCACCTATATGCTTAGGAAATAATTTTATGTTCAGCTTACAGATAAAAATAAATAATTTATTTAAATACAATTATATTCTTATAACTATAGTTATTGTATAGGTTTTTTTTTTTTTTTGTGATTATCTTAAAAACGAAATATATTTTAAGACAAACGAAATAAATGCGGAAGGGATATGCTACAATCTAACCAAGCAATTGCAACCGCAAGGCTTTAAATCCCATACAATTTTTTTATTTTTTAGTTTTAAAAAAATTTAAGGACCAACCAACTGAAAAAGTAGCCAATCAATACTAATATTTAAAGAAGAAATATTAAAAAGCAATTAAGATTAGTCTAGTGATGAGGAGTTTGGCTAAGTTGTATTAGATTATGTGTTCAATTCTATAGAAATAATAAAGGAAATATTGAATACCATTTATATTTTAAAACATATATTATTGGCTATAAAAAACATATATTATTTAATTTTTATTAAGTTTTAGAAAAAATTTAATGTTTTGTTAATGTTTTTCTTTGGACTAGTTAATAAATAAAATAATATTTATTGCTTTTATTTAAATCATCATAATAATTTAAGAAAACCAAGATACTAAAAACTTATATTTTTAATTAAGATTTATTAAATCTTTTTAGAATATTATAATTTTAATGTTTTTAATACTTGATAAAAAAAATATTAAATAAATAGTGTACTTATTATTTTAGGGATATAAAATATTCAATACGTTTTATAAAAATTATTAAAATAACTAATTGGGAAGATTTATAATTATTATTTCTCATTTAATATTTTTATATTCCTTGATAAACCCAAGTTATTAAGAATATGTTTTGAGATAATATGTTAATACTTTATTCCATTCCATTGATGATTGCTGCCAAATAAATATAGTCCATTACAATATATCCTTTTTTTTTCCAATTAACCATTAACAGAATAAAAGTTTCATGATAATTTTATTTATTTTTAATAATTTTTGCAAAAAAGTGCTATTCTAATCAGAATCTAAATAAAGTAAAAATGGGCAAAAAACACAATATCAATTAGTACTTTAAATGACTTTATTCACACAAAAAATATATTACATATAAATTAAATAAAGAATGATAATAAATCCTTTTAAAGGATTAAATCAAATTCTATTTAATATAGAAAATTAAAATTGTCCAAAAAAAATAGAAAAATAAATAAAAGGAAAAAATAATATAGTATCTTGACAATTAGAAAGGGGAAGGATCCATTTAAAAAAAAATTATAAATTTTTGCAAATTACACTATTATTCTCGGAAGTACAAAGTGTAACTTAATATACTTCTGGCAGTACATACTGTAGTTTATAAACAAAAAGTTTGTAAATATAACACTTCTTATAAAACATTTAATTTTTTAAAACTAGTTAATAATTTAATTTGTCAATGCTGATCTTGTGATTGTGGTGTAATTATCATCAATGAGAATGGATAGAAGTGTTAGTTAAGTCTTGCAGATTTTATTTATATATGAACTATAGAGCATGTTTGCAAACAACATTCGACATTGATCAATCCTCATGGAGGTGCTTCTTCGACCATTCTTTTTCTCTCTCATTTTGTTTTTTAGCTGCTCTTTCTGGGTTGGTAAAGCCATGGATTGTGGTGGAAGGGAAATCACAAATACCATACTTGTTGATCGATATGGCAAAGGAGAATTCAAAACGGTTCAAGCTGCCATTGATTCGATAAAGGATAACAATGATCGATGGGTCAAAGTTCATATAAATGCTGGTATATACGTGTAAGTTGTAACGTTATCACTTATTATATTTATGTAAAAGATAATATATATTGTAATTTTATTCTTACCTATATATTGTGATTCTGCAGAGAGAAAGTTGAAATCTCCTTATACAAGTCTTGCGTCTTCTTAGAGGGTGATGGCAAAGATGTCACGACCATTACAAATGATAAAGACACTGCTGCTACGTTCACTTCTTCACCATCCAATGTTATTGTACATGGCATTACCTTCAAGGTAAACAGTATTATGTTAGCACGTAATAAGGATATATAGTAACAATTTGAAAACACTCCAAATCTTGTTTCTAATATTGTATCAATGGGTAATATTTATAGAACTCATTCAATCTGGTGGGACAAAGACCAATGTTACCCGCAAAGGCAGCAAGCATCTATGGAGACAAATCTGTCTTCTATAAGTGTGGTTTCATGGGTTTACAGGACACTTTGTTTGATGCAATGGGACGCCATTACTTTAAAGATTGTTATATTCAAGGTGAAGTTGACTTCATTTATGGTGGTGGTCAATCTTATTATGAGGTAATACATACATAAATAAAAAAATTAAATTAATTTTTGGGTATCTCTTTTTGAATGAAATGAAATGATGGAGAATTTGATTTTATGTGGTTTTTCACTTGTATATAGGATTGTGCAATCCATGCCACGCAAGGAAAATCTCCTCCGGGTTTTATAACAGCCCAAGCCCGTGAATCAGAAAATGATACAAGTGGTTTTGTATTCAGAAAGGGATTTGTATATGGGAGTGGTCATATAAATCTTGGAAGAGCCTATCGAAATTACTCTAGAGTTATATTTCAAGAAACATACTTGTCTTCGGTAGTAACCCCAGAAGGATGGAATTCATGGAATTACAAGGGTCATGAGTATGGTTCACTTCTTTTATTACAAACTATTTAGATGATTGTATGATCATAGAAAGGGAATTGATAACTTCTTAATTTATGGAGTGCACTTTAAAAATTAATATAAAAATAATAAAAAAATAACTCAAGAGTATAGATTGAGGAGCGTTATTCTTAGAACTTAAAAATTTTACACCTGACAGACTATTTTTTCACCGTTGATTTCCATCAATCTAACGGTTATAATTTATTAAAAATTAATAATTAAAAATAAATGTGACCCGATAAATGACAAGCGTTGAATTGACGAAAATCAACGATAAAAAAATAAGTTATAAGTGATTGTAAAACTTTTAGGTTATAAGTATAACGCTACTCGTTTAGATTTACTTTTTATTTTATTATGTAAAAGTTGGGAAATGGGAATGAAAGGTTACTTATTATTTCAAGGGGAGAGATACTACAATTCTCATAGTATAATAATACTTATATAAACATCTACGTACGAGATGAGAATTTGCTAGTAGACAGGATCAAGTCTCAAAGCCTTTCAACCCCTTTTATTTTGTTTTATTACTTTTGTCTTAATTAATTTGTAAACAATTTTATTATGCAGGTACAAGTTTACTTATGCTGAGGTCAACTGTACTGGTCCAGGGGCTAATACTTCAAAACGCTTGTGGGAAAAGAAACTTACTTCCTCAGAGCTAAATGAATTTTCTTTATCTTCTTTCATCAACAAAGATGGGTGGCTTTCCAACTTACCAATTAGCTTTTCGTAATTTCTTTTCATTAAATTGGGATTAACATGTATTGTATGGTTAAATAAAAATGTCAGAGTTTTGTAATCTCTTTTGGATTAATGTACTTTGTGTTTAATTACTCCAACGAATAAAATGATTATTGTCAATCTCTTCTTTCTGTCATGTTAATTTTGCTAAATTAGCTTACAAATAGATATTTATGTCCTTTTTTTATGTTTATTTTTACATATACAAATATAACGATTTGATCAAAATTAATAAAATGTCTCCGCCTTTAATTTGAACTGTTGAAGAGGCATTGATGCATAATTGAGTTGACAGAGGTTTATATATCGAGCTGATCGTAGCTAGATTAGATTACAACTTTATGGATTACTTGGGGTTTTTTTTTTTTTGGTTAATTTTCAAAAGTATGTAAATTATATTGATCAAAACTAAATGCTTTTTATAATAACTCTAATTACATGATTTTTGAATCAGAGGGTTATGATGAGGACCTTTTGGTTATAAATAGAATGAGAATGAAATTTTAAGAATTTGATACCCATATTGAGGGTATTCCAGTCAGGTGAATTTTCATCTGCTGTTTTTGGCTGCTGACACAGTAATAGACTGTATAATAGCTCCAATACAATGAATTTAAGTTAGAGAGCTATCCTAATGATATGATTATCATAAATAATATAAGCATAAGATTTGATGAAGTTTGATACCCATATTGGGGATATTCTGAACAATTGAGTTTTCAGGTGTTGTTTTTTACGGCTGACGAAGTAACAGTCAGTAGAATAGTTCCAAGTTAGCAAATTATATTTAGAGAACTAATCTAATGATATAAACATCATGAATGAGGTTCTGATATGATTTGATGAAGTTTGATATCCATATTGGGATATTTTGAAAAAGTCACTTTTGCCGGGTATTTTGCACTGCTGTAGAAGTAGCCAGTAGAATTCCGGAACGGAAAAAAGATGAGAATATGTAAATAAACACCAATATATGCCTAACAAGTCATAATTAGACCAATAATGTTAAAGTTAAGAAGATAATAAAATTTGGGTACAGTTAAGAACACCGGTAAAGACTATAGTGCAATTAACAACTGTTAGTGGATTTGTGATCTTCTAATCAAATTTTTAAGTTATGAACATGATAATTAGACAAAATTAAATTTAAGTACTTAAAGTTAGAATCTTGGGAGTTTCCGGGTAAAAATTTGACGACGTTTCAGATAAAAATTACACTGGGTCTCACTAAAGGACAAAGTGCCACTAAAGTGACATGGCACCACTAATTAGGGCACCATCCCCTCCTTCTCCTTAAAATTTTTGAGCCTCCAACCTCTCTCTCTCTCTAAAATTTGAAATTCAAACATTGCTCTCACTTCTTTCTAAGATTTCTCCTCCAAAACCTCTCCAAATCACTAAAACTCCTTCACGAAGATTGTTCCCCTCACTCTCCTCTTCACAATCATACCATATTCATGGTGCGAATCAAATTTTCGTGATCATTTCCTTCATGTACAGCCACGGTTTTTTAAGCTCCAAGGGCCATGGTGTTGTGTTCTTGAGTTCTCTTGAAGAACAACGCTTGTGTGCTTGGTTCTCTTGATTTTTAGTGTAAGTTTCCTAAATTTTTCATGAAAAATCTCATCTTTCTCTCTTGTGTTCATGAGCTCTAAATCGTGAGCATATTTTTGAAGGTGTGTTCTTGTTTAAAGGAGCATTCTTGTTGGTAAAAGTTGAAGCTTGGAGCTAAAGGTGTGAGCTCGAAGATGTAAGCATCACCTTGGGAAAAGATGACCCAAAAAGCTTTCCCTCCTCACTTTAATGTCTCGGTTTTGTGTTGTGGGTGGGGTGTATGTTACTGAAAATTTTTAAAAGAAAAGGTTTTGATGATTGTTCTTGAGGGTGTGTGAGTTTTGGACCAAGAAATGAGTGGTTTGATGTGTAAAGGTGCCACCTTTGGACCCTTGAGTGAATTTCATGGAAAAGAATGAACATGAATCCTAAAGGAGGCACATGATGAACTAGGGTTTGTTGACTAAAAATTGTTGAAAGGTTGTTAAGTGTGGAAAAATCCTAAGTGAAACTAAGAAAGATTAATTAAGTGGGTTATCCTTAAGTGAAACATACTAATCTTGATTAAGGATGGCTAAAAACCCTAATAAATATAATTAATCAAATCTGCCCCCTTTGATATAATGTGGATTAGTTGTGATAAAAATTAGGAAATCATAGATTAGTGGATTAATTAAGTGTAGGTACTAATTAACTAATGAAATGACTAAGAAATAAGCTTAAAAATACTAATTTAAATACCTAAGCAATTCAGCCATATATGATTAACTTAGGGTCACTGTGTTAAAATTAAAATTAAGACCTAAGTAGGACATTAATCTAGTGGTTAAGTGAGGTGGACTATGCATAATACACTAATTAAATATTAAACCCTAAAAGTGAACCTAATTAGGGTTAGGAACATTAATCATGCAATTAGTGAACTTGAGGTACCATGACATTATATGACTAAGTGGGATTTCATAATGTGGCCTAATAATAGAAAAATCCAAGAATTAAAGTGACTTAGAGTTGCTAACCAAAGGTAATTAAGGTATGATAATTAAACACACTTAGGGTTAAATGACCAGTTTTTGGGCTAACTTGTGGAGAGCATATCTCCCTCCACAGAGGTCCTATAGGGATGTGCCTTATATCATTTTGAATCTTGAGATGTTAGCTATGTGGTGTCAAAATTTGGTACCATTGGAGGATGTATAGTATTCTGTAGGTTCGATTGAGTCTAGGCTGCCCTGGGAGGTCATGTGCAACAGCTGTACATGGATTCAACTTCCACAAATTGTTTCTCCCTTAGTTCTTACTCAAATTAAGCTCATAATATGTCTAATTAAAGCTAAAGATGTCTAGTTGTTAGTATAAAAATTTGAGATCAATTGGTTTAGTATATTTTCCAGAATCGCAGAAATGGTGAGGGATATTTAGGGCTCTGTTCGAAGTTGGCAGGCAGCTTTGCTTGTCCAACTTCAAATGGTGATAACCGGAGATAGAAAACTCCAAATGAGGAATGTGATACCTTGTTGGAAATTTAATTGAGTCTATATTAATATACTAAAAGATGAGAATTTTATAACAAGTGGGTTGCATACAGTGACTAAAAAACAGAAGCATGTACAGTTATAAGAAAACCGTAAAAGTGAGATTTAGGCTAAGTGGGCTTATAGGAACCCCTTAGTAACTTATAATAATTATATATATGGCTTGAATGAGTTGAAAATAATCTAAGTTACCTTAGTGATCCTAGAGTGTGATTCTAAAATTATGTGAGGTGCTTAAACTACGTAGTTGATTGTGTAATAAGTGAACACTTCATAATACATCAAAAACATGAAATTAAGTAATAAATGGTCTAAACTTGTAATGGGCATATTATTGGCATGTAAGAATGAAATGTGGAATCATTAAGTGATTGAGTATTAATGATATAAATGATTCATGCTCTAGGTTGGCCTAGAGGATTTGACACTTGGGGGTTTGTTGGAGTATACGTAATTTACAGTTGGAGTTGGGCTTGTGATAAGCTCAGTGAGGTAAGCTTCTAGTTCTAGATGCATCCTCTCTCTTGTGGCCCCACCATGATGGTGGATATTATGGTTATATTGTATGGAAGTATGTGGTATAATGTATATGTGCATTCATTCACATTCATATAGATGTTATATGATTCTTGATGTTATGATGATGCACTGATGATATATGTTATAAGAATTCTGGCCAGTGATTATGGTATGTAGGCTGCCTATGACTTGACTCTGGGAGCTATTTCATACAGAGGTTGTGTTGACTGTCTATGGCTTGACCCTGGAGTCACATATGTGTAACCGTCTATGGCTTTGACCCTGGGGTTACACAAGGATGATATGATGATGCTATGTTTATGCTGCATGCATGTATTATATGCTTTATATTTGACTTGTCATACAAGAAGTGGGCTCAGGGGATTAGAGGATCCTCTATGAACCTTGAGCTTACTGAGATGTGTTATCTCACCCCGTTTGGGGACATCATTTCAGGTAACCAGAGTAGTGGTGATGCTTCTAAGGACAAGGCCCCCGTCTTGGAGTAGTGGATGATGCTGCTGATTTATCTTTATTATATTTAGACTGTATGATGGGATGTAGATTTATTAACATGCTTAATTATCTTTTGTTGAGATTATATGATGTATTTATTTAGGCTCATGACTGTATGATTGGAGCCATGGATTATTTACTGATGCTTAGACGTTGGAAATTTATGTAGAATTGATGTAAGTATTCAGTTAATTAGGCATTGAGCCATATTGTTTGTATTGACCTATTGAGGGGATTGCAGTCCCCGTGGGACTTGCAAGCTGTCTATTTAATTATTGTATCTATCAGGTTGTTGTTTGTGTAGGACTCATGTTCCCAATTAGCCGAAATACAACCGTTATGTTGTCCATGAGACTCCGTCAGGAATGACATTTGAGGTCATATCTGGATGGTCAACGGCCACTAGTGATGGCCAATGGTTTTAATTAGTAGACTTGGATGTTTATGTTACGCGACTGCAATATATCAGATGAACGATTTGAAAATATTTTAGAAAAAATTTTGAAAAAATTTTACTCGTATTTTTATAAGAAATTTTATTATTCTTTTAAAATAAAATCTTTCGCTGTGTATGTTAAATATCATGTATGTTAACAATCGGAGTACTACAGGGTGTTATACTTTTTCAAGTTATTGCCTATCGAATAATAATTTATTGTTACCAATTGAATTAAAAAGGTGAGCCTTCAACAATGCTAAGGTTAATTTTTTATATCGGATTCAAGTCTGGAAAAAGTTTTTTTTTCGCAAAAATATAATGATAAATTTGTAGAGTTATTAAAATTGGTCAGCTTATCCAGTCATTGCGAGTTAGGACAAAAAAAACTCGCACGATCAAATAGCTTACAATAAAAAGATTTGTATGGAC